ACCTCGGAATGATTGTGTTAAGCTAGCACTAAGTCCCTTCCCCGTCCACCTTTATTCTTTTCTTTATAATAAGGCTTTCAAATAAGTCATGGTTGTACGGCAGTGAAGCATCGGTGTTGAACACTGATGTCATGCTGTCGTTGATGATGATGATGCTCTACGAAGTAACCATAATCGCATGGGCTACAATGATGATGTACATTTATTTTATCATTATTATTATTGTTACTACCATTATTCTAAACCAAATGGTGTGACCTCGTCGAGGGAGAAAGACCTTAATTCTCTTAATTATATGACAACTGGTGCAGTCAATAACTGCACAACCAGAGCGTCATTGAGTTTACGTGTAAACAGTACAGGTGTTCTCGAAAACAGTGAAGTTCGAAGTACGATATGGGACAAACTGAGCAAAAAAACAAAGGCTCTTGTACCATTACATATGAAATTCTCATTACTTAGGCTAAAATGACGCTGCAAGATGCATGAGGTCAATCCGAATAGCGAGTACGAATTCGCTTGTGCCACACCACCATAGTGATTGTTCGGAAGTTCAAACGGCCACTAACGCAGTCGGTTCGAAACGGCTAGTTTCATCAACAGGCATATGATCAGCCAAAATGATAGCTGGATCTGTCATACTTTTATACATCACTACCTCATAGTTCAGTTGGCGAGATATTAGAGATATCGCAGATCATTTACTTGACAGAACTGACTAAACATGAGGTTGATGGAAACTCCTCGTTGGTCGATGACTAGCTTCGCCCTGCGTGTGCTCATCAGGTAGACGGGACGCAAGTAATGAATTAAGCAAAAGATTTAGTTGAGTCAGCCGTTACCACTCAATCAGTTGGTCAAAATGGGGGGTTTTTGTAGCCAGTTGCGTAAAATCGGGTATTCAAATAAGGCAAAAATTTGACGAACCCTAAGAAGGATGAGTGTGGTCGAGGACTGTCGGAGAGTTTTCAGTGCCCCTATGAGTAGTGTGTTGCGTCGGCCAAAATCATGCTCGTTGTCTTCCCAAGAGTGAATGCACTCCATGAGGTCTACTTACTTGTTCTCCATGATAATGTTTCTAAGTTTACTGGTTCTAACTTTTCAACAAATCACACTGATATGCTTTAGAAAGTCGGAGACGAACGAAGCGCCTTAGGGTGTTTAGTGCGGTTTATTTACAGGAATCATCAGCTGTTCAGTTTGGTCATTTGTTTCGAGCACTTCTTGAACCGTCAAAATTACTGGTGAAATTTCGTTGGCCCGGGTTACGCGACTGCGTCACCTCATGTTCCCAAGACAGTTAAAAGTGAATATGGGTTAACTGAAGACTAGTTGATTGCTCAACCGAGTCCTGGTTACTCAATATCATTTTCGAAAACATGAATACATGGGCGAAATCAAGCAGTTCTGCTTCGGTTTTCCGGTCACACCTTATGAAGCGTGAGACTATCGTGTGTGAGTATGGCCAGACAGTTTGTCCGGTGCCGATGCTACATTTATTGATTGTTGTAGTTTACTCCGAATGGATCGGACTGGTGCATGTGAAATTCGACCTACATAAAGCAGTACGCACTAACTGCGTGTTGAATGTTCGTCAAGCTTAATAGCTACCTTCAAACCTAAATAAATACATGGTTCCGTAAAAGTTTGCTCTCGATCCATTGTTGCAGAATCGGTGATCGTTTTTCTGTTCGTAATCGGCACGAAATAGGGTGCCAAGTTTGAGGTCGATGTCTGTGTTAAGTATGTGGCGTAATTATGTCTCCATATCCCTCAGACTAATTTATTACCCTTCCGGTGACTTCCCGGACAGTACTAGAAGTGGGAACATTTAAAGGAAATAACGTTTTCAGAACTGAAACCGGTAGACATAGATTTCCTTATCGGTTGTGACGTCCCAAAGACATATTGGGTGCTAGAGGAGAGGTTCGGTGACCCGCAAGACCCTTATGCAGTTAGAAGACCGTTGGGATGGACAATTTTAGGGCCTTTATGCACAAATCCCGACAGCAATCAAAGTGAAGCAATTTTCCGTCAAGTCAGTCAAACAGAGGACTTGAATTTATAGCTAGAGCGTATGTTCAACCTCGAATTCATCGAAGCTGCTTGTACTACGCGAGCAATATCGTTGAACGGTCGAGCGACCTATGACCGAATGCCTACGTGTTTGAAAATAGTGGAAGGACACTATCAAATACCCTCACCTTGGAAAGATGGACTACAAAGGCTTAGCACTCAGAAGACTTTCTGTTCTAAAGGGTCGTCTTGAACGTGACCCTACCTTTGGGAAACTTTACTGTGAAAAGGTCGAAGAGTATGCAAGTAAAGGCTATGCAGAAATCGTCTCTGACAGTGAGCAAAATAGAGTTGGCCCATGTGTATGGTACCTACCGCACCATGGTGTGTATATAGCAGGAGACAAAGTTCGAATTGTTTTTGACAGGGCAGCAAAAACTTCAAATACCTCTCTGAATTTGCAGCTGCTAACTGGTCCCGGTCTGATGAGTAGTTTATTTGACGTTCTTCTATGATTTCAGGCATACCCTTACGTGTTGGTATCAGATATTGGGACGATGTTCCACCAGGTTAAAGTTCCACAATCCGATCGGTATGCACTATATTTTCTCTGGTGGACCAACGGTGAGCTTTCTAGCCGACCAATGTCCTACCGCATGACTCTTCATCCGTTTGGCGCAACTTCACCGCTCTCTCGTGCTAGTCTGGCTCTAAGGCAGACTACTAAAGATTTCATTACCTCCTACGGAGACGAAGCGGTAAAACTAGTCAATCGGTCCTTCTACATCGATAATTGCCTGATCAGTTTGCCCACAAAAAGAGCGGTAAAGACTACGGCCAAGCAATTCAAGGAGATCCTAGCATCTGGTGGATTTAATCCTACAGGTTTCTTCAGTAACGTAGAAGCTTATGTGATATACCCGTGGCGATATCTAACACCGTATAAATTCATCAAAATCGCCAAACAGACTACGTAAGAATGTTGGGTGCATTGTGGGAAAATACGATTGATGGTTTGTTCCAAAATTGAAAGCTGGGAAGGTATCCCGACCCGCCGCGCTTTACTGTCCTGTTTGATCCCATTGGGATGGTTGTACCAGTACCACTGCCGGAAAAATGCCCAATTCAGGATCTCAGTCAAAGGAAGGCTATCCGGGACGACGTTACGCCTGTAAACGAAGCGCTGAAATGGAGCGACCGGTTACTGAATTTATAGTGTCGAAAGCATCTGCATACCACGGTATCCGGACCAAACCATTTGCTTCAGACTGTAAGACTGAGCTGCACGAATTTTCTGATATTTCATAGACCTGCTATGGTGCCGCGATCTACATCCGTTTGATCCATCCGCCAAGAATACCTCACTGGCAGGAAAGTCCAGTTTTCAAGCACTATTTCGGTTCGGTAACTACCTGGGATAACGTGCAAGTAGATGTGTCGATTATGAAGGGTAAAACACCCCGATTTGGAAAGGTGGGCCAAACAAAATGACTGGAAATTCGATAAAACTGGCTGCCGCGATCTCCGTTTGATCCATCCGCCAAGAATACCTCACTGGCAGGAAAGTCCAGTTTTCAAGCACTATTTCGGTTCGGTAACTACCTGGGATAACGTGCAAGTAGATGTGTCGATTATGAAGGGTAAAACACCCCGATTTGGAAAGGTGGGCCAAACAAAATGACTGGAAATTCGATAAAACTGGCTCTAGCTGAAGAGACGCAACAAACGGCCCCATGGGTGCGTCAAGAGCACAAACCCACTTTGCACTTCCGGTGAATAACGCAGTTGTCTTGGTAACTGAATACCAACGACCACGGGTCTATTCGCCCTATGAACTAGTGTGCGTGGTAGCCCCCATGTCTACACAAAGAACGCACTTACATGTTCTTGACAAAACCAACCCCAACTTTAACTATAGCGTTTCCGGTCACCAACCGAGCTTTCACGATTAGCCGCAGGCAGGATATTTGAGTACCGCCCGCGTGAAAACCTGACGCCAGAATATCTCAGCGGTTAACGCCCCAGACTACGGACCGGAAGGTCCGTGGGGCTAACCCAAAATCGGCATCTCGACTGCCACTGAATGTGCCCGGACAAACTACCAACAACTCGGCCCTCGCGCACCACACTACCTGAACGGCAGTTGAGGACACATTAATCCTAACCATTGTAAAGCAAGCACGCAGTTTTTTATACTTGGTAAAAACCCATCGCGTCGGAGATAACTACTGCAACCCTACTAGCGGTCGATTCACGCCTTATCCAGACGTACCGATCTTAATTAACCAGAATGAAGAGCTCCAGCTGCGCTTTTCATATTGCACTTACCGACTGGACCGACGAACTTACTGTAACATCACGTTGTCGAAACATCTCAAACTGGCGACGACCACAAGACTAAACGAAAAACGACGATTAAGCCCCAGATCAGTTGATACGAAGATTAAACAAACGACTACCCAGAAAAGAACAAAGCCAACAGGATAGGAATCAATTATTTACAAACAAAAGGATGACAGACTAGAAACACTTGCGGTGGACAATACCAGGACCGGATTCGTCGTACTCTTGCTTCGAGATCCACATCTGTTGGAATGTTGACAGAGAGGCTAGAATTGAACCACCTATCCACACCGAATACTTCCGCTCCGGTGGCGCAACTATCTTGATCTTCATCGTGCTCGGCGCCAACGCAGTAATCTCCTTCTGCATACGATCCGCAATACCCGGATACATCGTAGAACCACCAGACAAAACCGTGTTCGCATACAAATCCTTACGGATATCCACATCACACTTCATGATCGAGTTGTACGTAGTCTCGTGAATACCCGCAGACTCCATCCCAAGGAAACTCGGTTGGAACAACGCCTCCGGACACCTGAAACGCTCGTTACCTATCGTAATCACCTGCCCGTCCGGAAGCTCGTAGCTCTTCTCCAACGACGAACTCGCCGACGCAGTACCCATCTCCTGCTCAAAGTCAAGAGCAACATAGCACAGTTTCTCCTTGATATCACGCACAATCTCACGCTCGGCAGTCGTCGTGAAGCTGTACCCACGTTCCGTCAGGATCTTCATCAGGTAGTCCGTCAAATCACGACCAGCAAGGTCCAAACGAAGTATCGCATGCGGCAACGCATAGCCCTCGTAGATCGGCACCGTATGGGTCACACCATCACCAGAATCAAGCACAATACCCGTAGTACGACCCGACGCGTACAGAGACAACACTGCCTGAATGGCCACGTACATTGCCGGAGCATTGAAAGTCTCAAACATTATCTGCGTCATCTTCTCACGGTTCGCCTTCGGATTCAAAGGGGCCTCGGTCAACAGAACCGGGTGTTCCTCGGGGGCCACACGCAACTCGTTGTAGAAAGTGTGATGCCAGATCTTCTCCATGTCGTCCCAGTTCGTCACAATCCCGTGCTCAATAGGGTACTTCAGCGTCAGAATACCGCGTTTCGATTGGGCCTCATCACCCACATAGCTGTCTTTCTGTCCCATCCCAACCATCACACCTTGATGTCTCGGCCGTCCGACAATCGAGGGGAACACAGCACGAGGGGCATCGTCTCCGGCGAATCCGGCCTTGCACATACCCGACCCATTGTCAATCACCAGGGCTGCAACGTCCTCGTCACCCATTATTACGTCAAACAGAAGGGGCGCACAACTAACGGGTCTGACGTTCAAATCACCAACTTTATAGGACGCAATCGACCCTTGATCGTTGACAGACAGCCAATGCTGTATAGGCAGTCGTTCGACCTTCATTGCTGCCATATATGGTCAACGCAGTTCTGAACCAATCAGCGATCGGCTTGAACGAATCGCCACTTGCCGTCTGACTCTGTGGTTCAGTTGGACGACGCTCATTGGTTATTGGTTTTCTCTCTACCCTGCTGCTCAGGCTCGACGTTGACGGCGCTGTTTCGTGACGCACACACCGACAGCAGAAACCACCCTGCTTTGTCCTGGTGGGCGTAGGGTGAATTCCGAATCTAGAGCCTAATTATTCCCTGTAGTTTCAGTCGAGAGACTGACGCAGTCAGTGGCCAGTGCTCGACTGAAGCCACGGTTGGACCATTGGTGTGACGCCAGACTGGCGATTAGACCATTTTGGACGTTGGTACTGGAAGCATCGGCACCACCAAGTCTACTTTGTTGGTGCATCACGGGAACTAAATGTTCGATCACTCGGCTGTTTTTAAGAACTTATCCGAAACTAAGTAAATTCATAAATGTTACGAATGCAGCGCAATCAATGCATCTTTCCATCCGTGCCTAATTACGTAAATACCGTTGAAGGTCCGTCACGTTAACACCACAGTTTCAATAGAGTGATGTTGGTGATCTCGAGGTCCAAGGAAGTGAAATAAGTAACTGACAATATGAATACTCACAGTTCCCCTTCTCGCCATAAACGGTACGATTTGGATATCCCATTGCGCACCTGTCAAATGACCTCGAACCACGAGACGTGTGTTGTTTTTTCGATGGCACTTCCGAAAGCACTTTCTTGGTATCGTTCAGTCTAATGATTAGCCACCAGAGGTTAGATGCCGGCCCATTGGCTATCTCCCTCATAGCTGTGCGCAGGGTGTCATTTTGCCGCACTGCATTTGAAATAGCGATCATTCTCCTGATTGGATGTCCACCAAATAGAGACCGTCGCGTTCTGAGCGAGGCGGAAATTGATGTACGATCGTTCCGATATGAGGGCACGCTCCATAATAGACATAATTTACTATTCTCCAGCTTGTTTTAACATTATGAAGCCGGAAAAGTTCTTGGTCAGCGCCCAGAATCGCTTTGATGAAAGATGTCTTATCCTTTTTCAGCATGAAACTGCACATGACGAAGGGTATAATGAAGTTTACTGGTTCATTTACAGGCGGCGGATGTTTTTCGTTGGGTGAACAACGAAAGTGGGTTTCTGATGTGGGCATTATACACTGAAACTGACACTTTTAGCTTTCTATGTACTTCGCTCACTTCAGTGTGTATTAGCAATGATGCACTGACTAGAAAAAAGTCGGTGAAATTCGACATTCACCCTACAACTTTTAATTGATTTATTTTGATTTACTTGATTTCATTTGCAGATGGTTCCTTTTTTTTCTTCTAACACCATTGCTCGAGTCATCTTCACGAGTCATCTCGAAATTCGCGGTCTTTCTTTGCACCGCGGAACGCATCGCAACTGCCTTCGTCAGGCTTCCGTCAACCCAAAGCAAATGGTTATCCCTCCCCATCACACACTTCTGAGCGCACTTCGTAGGAGTGTCATTAGGCAGCAACCGACTACGGGTATCGTGGGTGTCAGTGGCGTCGCATTTGTATTCTCTCCTCATCGTTCCTTTCTTGTTCTGCTATCAGTTCAAGCTTAGTGCTATTTTTCCTCAGGATACCCGGTTGTCTTGCCTAAGTGGGCACCCAGCTGTTCTTTTCTAAACACAGTTGTCCTCAGGCAAAATACTATCCCTGAGTTACGGCACTTCGAGAAGTTACGTGGACCCGATAGAATTGGGTAAATTGCAAAAACTCGAAAAGCTGGACAAGGCCAAGAATAACGGATGCTCTACAACTGTGTTAGATGTACCTTCCTCTGACAGTCGGCAAATCCCGCTCTCTGTATGAACAGCTTGTGTGCACAGATCTCTACGTGTGCCTTTCGCCTGTCCCACACCACCCGTCAGTGGATAGCTGTGCTGTCGGTCTTCGCGCTGTTTTGTTGGTATGATGTATGCTGCGTCAAGATTTGTCACTTGTTCATACACTCAGTTCTTGTTCGGTTCAGTTTAGGTCCTTTCTGCGTTATGTGATAGGTTGGGCATTCAGCAACACCCTCATCAGCCAGACAATTCAGCATTACAGCATGAATATGAAAGGGGTCAGTTGGTCTGGACAGAGAATGTCATAAACGAGAGACTAAGCTGGGGCTCCAAGTTAATTTGCAATTCGCCAACAAACAAGAACCTAGTGATGGCCACAGCATTCTATTGTTCAGGGGATAAAGGTTAGCTTTAATATATTGCATTATGTACGGTGTGTAAGTAATTCTCTAAATGTAGGGAGGTTTTCAGTGCAATTCCGGTGGCTGGAGAACGGGAAGAAACCTAATGAGCGGGAACCAATACGTATAGATAAATAGACGGAAATTGAACGCACTACTGTACTAAGCTTACGGTTGAGCAGAATACGCGTGAAGTGTTCCAGATACTAATGTTAAACTCTTCGGAAAATGAGTGCGAAGCATGTTGATTATACTGAGATGATCCTGCGCGATAAACAGACAGTTTTCTTAGTCACTTACCTTTACCTTTTACATTCTACTTAGTCTTACGAAAACTACCCTGGGCAACCAAGCTTCGTAATCATGACCTACTGGTTTGTACGATGGACATATTCCACAAGTATTAATGGCGACCTGTTTGGTACACGGCTCATCTCAGTTTATTGTTTGTGAACCATGAACCAGTCGTACGTTGCTTCCAGCTATTGCATTTTCGGTCGCCGAGGCAAACGGAGGCAGGTACTGGTGATGACGACGTGATCGGTTTGTTAGTGCTGTGTGACGCCCTAAGGGAATGGATAACTGGACTGCCGCTGAATGCGCGCCTGAGCCATGTCTACCAGTGTCATTACCATTCATGAGTAGAGTATCCGGGCTTCTGGATACTTCGTTGCTAGGTCGTGAGCTGTCTGACTCTGAGTCGCTTCTGCTCAGTACAGGTAGTATATGCTCTAGTAGTAGTATATAGTAGTATATAGTACAACATGACCTGTTGGCGCACCATCAAGTATTTCTTGGACTTGACCGAATGCAGTACAAAGTGGGTGTTCATGATGTCCACTGTTGTGGTTACTAAAATCATCATCAAACCCGCGGCACATGCTCGCTACATTACCCTAAATCCGTTTCAGACAGACGTTATCCGCAAAGTTTCTGGCAGCATACCCGTCGAAATTGTAATGGACAAGTGTATCCGGTTTCATAATTCAACAACAACAACAACAACAACAACAACAACAACAACAACAACAACAACAACAACAACAACAACAACAACAACAACAACAACAACAACAACAACAACAACAACAACAACAACAACAACAACAACAACAACAACAACAACAACAGTACATCTATATTTTATTGGAAGGGATTACCAGACGGTTTCGCTTTAGCTGGCTTTTAAATATGACATTTATCGCCTTTGATGTAATAGACCTGATCCTCATTATTCATTTCATATGGTTGAAGTAACAGTTTGTTCTTTCCAGTTTATCAAACCTTGTGGATACCAAGAAGCCAAAAGTGCGTTGGCTGAAAGATTCCATGCCATAAGATTCCGTGATTGGTGATAACACTAGTCACATCAGATATCCCGCATAATATTCAGCCCCTTCGGAACTGAGCAGCTTTTTCGTGGTTACCACAAAACGTTTGAGATTATGCACTCTTCCTAATCGTTCGTCTTCTGTTTTGTTCTCTTTTCAATTCCTGAATGTGCCTAGCAAGTTGAGTAAAGTAGAACCATTATATACTTAATTGACCGATGGTCCAGTGGACATTTTTGAACGCATTAAAAATCAAGGAATGTGTTAAGTATATTATAGACTTTGTGAGTAGCGAATGAGATTCCTTACAATAAGGTTTGCTCGTTGTAAGCTTCAGGACCATCCACGTCGATTGAAACTCGTCAAATGAATTTCGATCGGCATCATCAACCAAGCCCATCATAACTGCTTTTGTGTCAACACAGCAGGATTATTGTTAATAAGAAGTGATGTTCCGTAACAGAAATTGAAAGGTTATACCAAGGGTGTGTGAGTGGTCGCACGAACATTGACAGCTCAAAACGTCTAGGTGGTGAAACATCATAGAACAGAGCAGAGTTTCCAGCTGCACAACCACAGCGTCATTGAGTTTACGTGTAAACAGTACAGGTGTTCTCGAAAACAGTGAAGTTCGAAGTACGATATGGGATAAACTGAGCAAAAAAACAAAGGCTCTTGTACCGTTACATATGAAATTCTCATTACTTAGGCTAAACTAACGCTACAAAATGCATGAAGTCAATCCGAATAACGAGTACGAATTCACTTGTGCTGCATCATCATAGTGATTGTTCGGAAGTTCAAATGGCAAGGCTCTTGACCGTTACATATGAAATTCTCATTACTTAGGCTAAACTAACGCTACAAAATGCATGAGGTCAATCCGAATAACGAGTACGAATTCACTTGTGCTGCATCATCATAGTGATTGTTCGGAAGTTCAAATGGCCACTAACGCAGTCGGCTCAAAACGGTGAGTTTCATGAACAGACATATGATCAGCCAAAATAATAGCTGAATCTGCTATGCTTTTATCGATCACTGCCTCATATTTTAGGTGGTGAGATATTAGATATATCGCAGTTCATTTTCTTGACGGAACTGACCAATCATGAGGTTGATGGAAATTCCTCGGGGTTCGATGACACGCTTCGCCTTGCATGTTCCCATCAGGTAGACATAATCCATTCTCCTCCAGGGCGGTGTATGTACGGGAATCATCAGCTGTTCAGTTTGGCCGTTTGTTTCGAGCAACTTTTGAACCGTCAAAACTACAGGTGAAATTTCGTTGGCCCAGTTTGTGTGACTGCGTCACGTCATGTTCCTAAAAGAGTTAAAAGGGAATATGGATTAACTGAAGACTAGTTGATTGCTCAACCGAGTCCTGATTGTTCGAAGCTGTTTCTCAAAAACGGGATGACATAGACGAAAACGAGCAGTTCTGCTTCGGTTTTCCGGTCACACCTTATGAAGCGTGAGACTATCGTGTATGAGTATGACCAGACAGTTTGTACGGTGCCGATGTTATCTTTCTTGATTGTTGTAGTTTACTTTGAATGAATCGGACCGGTGCATGTGAAATTCGACCTACATAGAACAGTGCGCAATGACTGCGTGTTGAATGCCCGTCAAGCTTAATAGCTACCTTCAAACCTAAATAAATACACGTTTCTGTAAACGTTTGCTCTCGATCCATTGTTGCAGACTAGGTGATCGTTTTCCTGTTCGTAATCGGCACGAAACAGTGTGTCAAGTTGCAGGTAATTTGTGTTAGGTAAACACTGGCAGCGTCCTGGTTTGACCAGCAAAACACCGACTAATATGGTTTACTTGAGGAGACTCACCTACCCAACGAGTCTACACATTTATGAGTGTTTCGACCGTGTTAGATAATATGTCGGCTATCACGCTTAACTTTTGAGCGATCAGAGTTTGCGGACTTCAGTGTGTCTTTGCTGACTCGTCCCTCCCCGGGGAAGCATTATTTTCGCCTCCTTAATATGGACGTGCTAGTTTGTTTTCGGTCCGTTCGCGGAGCTCGGCAGTTGGACTGCAGACGTTTCATCACCAATCGAGGTGATATCGTCAATGAAAGGTCGAGTGGGTTGTCTGGAGGAAGCACTCTATTGTTTTCATACTCCGATCGAAGAGGACGGGAATACTTCACATCCAGACCCCGACGTGTTATGATTACCCTTCGTATGAGAACTTGCTGGTCTTTGTCTCGTTGCCCCCTTTGTCTCACCTGGCGTGGATGAACCTTGAGGAATGAAGTTCTAGCTGGTTTAGCCTACGAGGTCATCAGAACAAGTTGACTTTTGTGGTTTATGTGATTTGAATTGCTTCTGTCGCGTCCAAACTTAAACAAGAGGATCATAAATTGTCTACAACTGAAAGCTCCGCCCAGAATACCTGATCTTAGCGTAGCAGTAGCGAAGTCGTTCAAGCCTCTAAGTGAATACTTACAGTAATTTTCCCAACCCGGCAAACTTTAGAGCCTGGAGGCCGTTTGTCAGACCTCTACCCACTGACCTGGTAGGAGAGACTTTGTAAATTTTAGATAGCCATCCTCCGGTACAGCTCAACGGGTTACTGAAGTACTTAACCTGTCGAACCACAGTTAGGTCCAGTCCTTTCGTGGCGGGTCAGTGCCATAGGTGTGGGAGACTGGCACCGGTGCCCGGCTGGTGACGACACGCATTGATGATGTTACCTGGATTATTGAGGAAACTTTTGCGAGCCAGTTACCGAGCCGGGCGATCAAATCTACAGCCACCTGACCAACCAACAATGAGAGGTACATGTGACAGTTGACTCATGTCGTAAGGCTCGTACATTAATTCAACCGCATTACTGGATGTGTGGAGGCTGGGGATGTTTCATCTTAGAAGACACATGATTTCAGAGCAGTTTTGCAAACAATCGATTGATTTATTCCGAGGCGAAATTTCACTCCTCACACAAAAGCTTCATCAGACCAAGTTCATATTTTTTTCCTTTTTAACGGGTTTTACTGTAATCAGAAGACCAATCTGAGATTACTTATGACCAGCCCACTTGATTGGTGCTGGGTGCCAGGTTTGAATTTTCTGTTTGTTGGTAAGTGGGAATGTGTACCAAACCTCTCTGAAACGATGACTACTCACTAGGTCCCATACATTTCCAGTTGAATGAAAAGTCCTTTATACACGGTTTATTGATGCGCCCATAACCAGCAATTATCTCAAATTTATCGAAAGTTATTTGGTTATATGTTTGTATGTTTTCTGACCAGGTGGCTATCCTTCTTAACTAAAGAACCTGCTTGGTTGTCCCGATTATCAAGCAAACAAGTTTGGACTTGTGGTGGTTGTATTATTACGTGGATAGCGGACCTGTTTCATCAATGACAAAACAGTGCGTATCTGATTCAAAATTTCACCCGTGGAAATATGCTCGCATCCGCGCGTCTGACACAAGCTGGCCGATGGCAGCCATTCACGACCATTATCTGAGCTCTGTCAAGCATGGGCGGATGCTGTTCACCGCGTACCCGTGTATTCACAACTGTTGCGAATACAAACCAAAATTATATTTATCCAACCTGAATGCTGCGTTCCGGTCTCTGTAGTCGCTTGACCCAACAAACCAGTGCTTTCTCATTTGGTTCCGTCCAGGCTGACAGTTCTGATGATGATGCTGACATCCCGTCCACTTCATAATCGGCATTGAATAACACTAAGCCGCGCGGGGACAACGCAGTCCGACCGACTAACCTCCCTGGTCTCGTGTCGGTGTAGCCTCTCCCAAACTGAGGGGATTACTATGAGCCTCCTCTCTGTGATTTGTTCCGAATTCTGAACGCCAATCACTGGAACGCTCACAAGAGCCGCTTGTCGCGGTCTTCTGTTCTTCAAATTATTGTCACTCTATGTGAAACCATTATTCTTGCGGCCACACCGGAAGTGCTGTAAATGCTATTTCAATTCATTTTGGAGGCAAGGTGTGCCACATTTCTTGCTCGTTTCTGGTTGAAATCTGTCTTCAGGCGGGTGAGTTAATTGTTTCAATGTTTCCTTTCGATTATTATGTTTAATCGGATCTCTTGAAACAATGTATCTTGTGCAACTGTTTACAGTCCTCCCCTCAGGTTCAGCTTAGGTAAACTGATTGAACTGAATAGCTCTAACTCTTCTGAGGAGAACACTCCTCCCCAAAATACAACTGCAACCCATTCTTGATATTCGGTAAATTATCCCATATACGTTGGAGAAACACAAGGATGACAGGCACCTGCCTTTGTTAATGTCTCAGCGGACCAAAATTTGAGGTGTGAAAACGGAACTAGGTCAATTAGTACAACTTTGGACGATGCAAGTCTTACGGTTTCCTTCGTAAGTATGCCCCTTGTCCGACTCAAGCCAAAATATAGGTTGCCTGTCCTCGACTCACCCATTTGTGATTTCTCCGAGCAACATGCTGACTAACCTAAAAGAATACAGGCACACTTACATACGGTTTCTTTCTCACAACACAAAGAAAACCAGACACCGCGATCGAGTGTCTAGAATTCGGTCACCGCAACAATTCAGGAATGTCACTGTGGTTAGCCTATCGTGATAATACACACAACTGCAAGATACTACGACAAAGTCTACTTCCCACGACGAAGTCTATCGCCGTCAAATCTCATCAATTTACACTTTGTCCACAAAAGATCCGTGTTCAAGCACTTAGATGTCCGTGGTCTAGACTACCGCCGCCTTCCAAAGTCAACGGAAAACTACCTGGTTCTCATGAGCACATTCACCAGTGAGTCAAAACAGACGAATGTAGTATAAACTCCGCAGTGCCCAATAGGATCCCATTTTAATACATTTTTATGGTCGCATTGGCTCGGTCTTTGGAAGCATATCACAGAAAAATGTGGAAAGGTGTGGAAAATGCAGTATTCTGACGTAAACTTTTTATTCCATTCGCAAAGGTTTGGCAGCTTAGAGCATTGTGCGGCTAAGGAGCGCCCGGCTAGATCGACAATTGTATTTTGATGGTGTTTTCTAAGGAAGACCATGCCTGTCCATCCTAATTGGTCCATATTCATCGACGCGAGGTTTGAACGCCAGAAATAATGCACAATTTAAAGGCAATAATCCCATTGATCAGTGACAGTTACCAAGTCCTTTGATGTATCCGCCCTTGACATCAGGGCCTCCAAACTCATTTGAACTTTTGACTAGGCAGTTTAACAACGTGATGCGAATGATTTCGCGCCCGCTGTCCCGGTACAATTCAGGTCGTATGTGGCACAGTTAGTGTCGTGTTCACGTAAGCGAGCGTGCGGATGGTGCCCTTCACCGTACCAGCTACGTTGACCCGTATAGTTATTCTTACGTTGGAGTTCACGATGTTACTCTTTCTTTTCACCGCAGACCCCGAGGGCATAAACCTCGGACTCAACGCGATCGTCCGAAAGTTACCTTTAGTCTTGGCATGCAACTCGGATAGTGACTAATACTACACGCCACCAGGACGACTTTGGTCCGGGGAAATATCGTCACTTTAGCTACCGGCCACATGGCTGTTTGTTGGTCTCATGTGAACTTTTTGCCACTGAGTCGCTACCTGGTCGCATCACAAAGCTTGTGCTCTTCAATTAGAGAACGTGGAGCATAACAGAGCACGCTTGTTTCGGCTCACAATAGTGCACCCCTCATTGGCGTGCAACCTAACATTAATTCCACCATAAGAATCCATATCCTGACGAAATATCACGTAAGGCCTGAAGTGAGAATGAACCAGTTTGATGGAACACACTAAACATAAGGTTCCGGAAAACTCTTTGACAGACTCCTTCAGGGTTCGTTCTTCTTCGGGTTAACCAGATCGGCGAGTTTCCGCCGAACTTACTCGCAGAATTTTCGTACGGAGCGTGCCCCGCCAAGATAGTACACCTCGATATCTCGAACACCGTGTTTACTGCGACATTAGATGGTCTTTGTGTGACAAATTAGGTGACGTATCACAAACGGGATATTCAGACAGAATGAATTGATTCTCCCCTTAGAGCCTACCGAACTTGCAGGTGAGTGTACTTCTTCAGTGAAAAGAGCTAGAACACTCAATTACCGTGGCCACTTCATCGGTAAAACAAACTGGCGCAACTTGATCGCATTTCCGAAATCTCAAGCTTCTGCAATAGGTTCCTTCGGGTGGCATGGCAACTAGGCACTAAAAGAGTGTTATTCTCTGATTGTGCTTGTCTTATTGATCATTAAAATGTGCACTGAGGTCGACTCACTACCTGTGAAAGGTGCCTAGCACCGACTTCAGCGGCGAACCAGCACCTGCACTGAAAGTCAATTACTACGGCTCCCACAGCCGACGATACGAACGGCTGCATCTCTCAAGCACTACATCAGTTCGCTAACTACCTAGGATACGATGTACCTAAATGTGTCGATTATAAACGACAACATAATCTGATTTGGAACGATGGGTAAGTCAAAATCACTAACAACCTGACCCGAAAACACCTCAGCGCTTAAGGCCCCAGATTACAGACCGAAAGAGCCGTGGGGATAAACCAAAATCAGCATCTCGACCGCCACTGAATGTGCCCGGACAAACTACCAGCATCCCAGCCCTCTTGCCTCCGTCCACCGGAACGGCAGTCGAGGAATACTTGACCCTAACCACTGTAGGGCACACACGCGGTTTTTACACCTAGTGATGACCCAGCGTGTCGGAGGCATAACTGCTGCAACCCGAGTAGCGGTCGATTCACGCCTTATCTGGACCTAACGATCTTACTTAACCAAACAGAACAGCTCCAGCTGCGCTCCCCATACTGCACTTACCGACTGAATCGACGAACCTATTGCAACAACTTATCGGAGCTACTCAGACGCACCGTGAGTCTGAACGAACAGCGTAGCTACCAATGATCATGGCTGTCAAACCTAATACAGCCACTATCCTCCCTTTCGCGGACGAAATATCCTCTAACGCCGGAACATCAAACAGCATGTTTTAGCAACTCTCAATACCAAGCTAAAAGCTGGAAAACGAAACTCGGACCCTGTGGTGGGAAATACCAACACCCTGATCATATGAACGAGTAAAAAGACAAGCATGAAACAGATGTTATTTACAAAGCGAACATATGATTAGAAGCACTTGCGGTGGACAATACCAGGACCGGATTCGTCGTACTCTTGCTTCGAGATCCACATCTGTTGGAATGTTGACAGAGAGGCTAGAATTGAACCACCTATCCACACCGAATACTTCCGCTCCGGTGGCGCAACTATCTTGATCTTCATCGTGCTCGGCGCCAACGCAGTAATCTCCTTCTGCATACGATCCGCAATACCCGGATACATCGTAGAACCACCAGACAAAACCGTGTTCGCATACAAATCCTTACGGATATCCACATCACACTTCATGATCGAGTTGTACGTAGTCTCGTGAATACCCGCAGACTCCATCCCAAGGAAACTCGGTTGGAACAACGCCTCCGGACACCTGAAACGCTCGTTACCTATCGTAATCACCTGCCCGTCCGGAAGCTCGTAGCTCTTCTCCAACGACGAACTCGCCGACGCAGTACCCATCTCCTGCTCAAAGTCAAGAGCAACATAGCACAGTTTCTCCTTGATATCACGCACAATCTCACGCTCGGCAGTCGTCGTGAAGCTGTACCCACGTTCCGTCAGGATCTTCATCAGGTAGTCCGTCAAATCACGACCAGCAAGGTCCAAACGAAGTATCGCATGCGGTAACGCATAGCCCTCGTAGATCGGCACCGTATGGGTCACACCATCACCAGAATCAAGCACAATACCCGTAGTACGACCCGACGCGTACAGAGACAACACTGCCTGAATGGCCACGTACATTGCCGGAGCATTGAAAGTCTCAAACATTATCTGCGTCATCTTCTCACGGTTCGCCTTCGGATTCAAAGGGGCCTCGGTCAACAGAACCGGGTGTTCCTCGGGGGCCACACGCAACTCGTTGTAGAAAGTGTGATGCCAGATCTTCTCCATGTCGTCCCAGTTCGTCACGATCCCGTGCTCAATAGGGTACTTCAGCGTCAGAATACCGCGTTTCGATTGGGCCTCATCACCCACATAGCTGTCTTTCTGTCCCATCCCAACCATCACACCTTGATGTCTCGGCCGTCCGACAATCGAGGGGAACACAGCACGAGGGGCATCGTCTCCGGCGAATCCGGCCTTGCACATACCCGACCCATTGTCAATCACCAGGGCTGCAACGTCCTCGTCACCCATTATTACGTCAAACAGAAGGGGCGCACAACTACCGGGTCTGACGTTCAAATCACAACTTTATAGGACGCAATCGACCCTTGTGATCGTTGACAGACAGCCAATGCTGTATAGGCAGTCGTTCGACCTTCATTGCTGCCATATATGGTCAACGCAGTTCTGAACCAATCAGCGATCGGCTTGAACGAATCGCCACTTGCCGTCTGACTCTGTGGTTCAGTTGGACGGCGCTCATTGGTTATTGGTTTTCTCTCTACCCTGCTGCTCAGGCTCGACGTTGACGGCGCTGTTTCGTGACGCACACACCGACAGCAGAAACCACCCTGCTTTGTCCTGGTGGGCGTAGCGTGAATTCCGAAGTTAAAGCCTAATTATTCCCTGTCAGTCCTTGACTGAAGTCACAGTTGACCTCTTGTGGTGAAGCCAGACTGTCGGTTAGGTCATTTTGGACGTTGTTATTTTAGCCATTGTTATCACTAAGTCCACTTTGGTGGTGCATCACGGGAACTAAATTTTCGATCACTCGATTGTTTGTAAGAACTTATGGGAAACTAACTAGATTCATAAATGTTAAGGGTATTTTGTTTACGAATGCAGCGCAATCAATGCATTTTTCCGCCCTTGCCGTTGAACGTACGTCCCGTTACCACTAATTTCAAGAGTAATGTTGGCGGGGTGCACGGAAGTGAGATAAGTAGCAGAGTACAAACACTCAAATTTCCTCCACGATACTAATGCTACTAGTACTAGTTCTACAGTACGGATATGAAAGTGGTCGGTTTGTATGAACAAAGGATGCCGCAAACGAGATAGTCAGCTGGGTCCCCAAATTAATTTGCAACTCTGTGTATTCTACCAACAAACGAGGACCTAGTGATGACCACAGCATTCTAGTGTTCAGGTGATAAATATTTGCTTGAATATATTGTAGCATGTACGCTGTGGAAGTTATCCTCTAGATGTAGGATGGATTTCAGTGCAATTTCCGTAGATGGAGAACGGGAAGAAACCTCGTGAGCCGGAACCCAGTAAGCTAGCTTGTACTTCTCCAATACTTATTAATAAATCAACCGAAATGGAACACACTATACACTACAGTACTAAGCTCACGGTGGAGCAGAGTAGGTATGACGTGTTCGAGATATTAAATATGGAATGTTCTGAAAATGAGTACGAAGCATGTACATTACGCTGAGAAGATCCTGCGCGATAAACAGACACTTTACTCAGTTCACAACTCAGAACAGTGGTAACTACTCGCTCTACCAACAGCTTAAATACTTCGGAGTGGGGATGTCAACCTGATGTGATAATGTTTTGTCCTCACATTACAAGTTTAATGAGTTGCGGGTGAATAAATTTTCTCCTAATAGGGCAGTTGATTCACAGTCTTATCAAAGCCTACTCCGAGCAACCGAGCTTCGTAATCATGTACGGCTGGTTTGTACGACGGACATACGCCATAAATATTAATGGCAAGTTGTTTGGTACATGGTTCATCTCAATTTATTGACTATGAAGCATGAACCGGGTGAACTGGATGCTTGGTTGCTAGGTGGTGAGATCTCCGAGTCTCAATCGTTTCTACCCTGAGCAGGTCTCGACTGGGCTCGACTAAATAGGGGCCGGGAGTCAACAAGCGAGTTTTTGTGACAGGAAATGGGACGATATGTGAGGGTTGCTAACCCATATTGTTTCTAATGCAGCCATTGTTTACCGTACTCATTTTGACGTCGGCCTAGCGTCAGCTCAAAACACTTAAAAACTATGGGGCGGTTGGAGAGTAACTGGCATACTAAGGATCATGCTACGTAAATGCAGTTTTTCCAGTTACGGTTCCCCTTCTTTCCCGGACTATATAATGTGTAATAAAAAACCACTCTGTTCATGGCGGGGTTGTTAGCTTTTCCCTTTTTTCAAGTGCCAGGACATAAGGGAGGTGGAGTTTTTTTATCACCGAGCATTTCGTGGGCAGCTGTTATAGTTTCTAGACGCAACATCGCTTTTGTTTAGAAAAAACAATTTTCTCAAATAAAACTTCGAACGCAAGGTTTCAGTCCACGCACAATTTGTTTGTGTGTTCCCTCTCCTGCCATTGTTCGGCGAAACATGTCGGACAAGATAGCCTTTTTAGTGAATATTTCGAACATCTGTCACAGCTCTCAATGGCTTGGCCAAAAGGTTGATTGCGTTACACAATATTGAAACCGACCATGAGATCAGTCCAAGTGGGGTATTTCACGTTATTTACGCGATGTATCGATCTAGGTGTTGGTTTGACCACAGCCGAAGCACGCACAGCAGTATGACGTCAAAAACGATTCTTACGAACTCTACTTTTGACCTGGTCATGTGACACGAATCAATCGACCCAGTCGCTCAACGGCCATCTAGACAGTCTTATGTCCGACTTGGGTCACAATGCGGTTGTCTGTTTCCGCGTTTGTAGTTTAATAACCAAAGTTAGCTGTTCATTTGAACGTTTATCCGTTAGGTATGTGCTGGCCCGACAAAATCATCAATGTTCGTCATTCCGTGTTCTGTTCAGGACAAACAAAAGCTCTTCAAAACGGGTTTGGGGAGCACAGTCAGCCGAAGGAGACATCCATAAACGAGTAATTTAGATGGATTTAGTTAAGTCTCCCGTCAAAAACACACTGGTGTGCAAATGAGAGTACTTGACAAATTTCGTCCAGTTTGGGCTCAAGTAGAACGTAAGGTTGACGGAAACTTGGGGACTGCGCCTACCTGATGAACCTTAAGAAACCTGAAACTCGTCGTCTTCTTTCGAAAGGTTTTCAGCACCCCTATGAGTACTATGTTTCGTCTACATATCGTATTGTGACATCTTAAATGTTGTACCAACTGAGACACGAGTGAACCTTGTGTAGCACATCCAGCTAGAAAAGACCATCACAAACAAATGTATTCGGTTAAGTCCTCCGTCAGAGCCGAAGTAGAGTGCAAATAGGAGCTACCAATGTCGTTCACACCTGTGTCCGATGTATTAGGCACCAAACAGACCCCATCCGCTCCCTAGTCGTATAACTGGTACATTGTGAAACCAGAGTGGGTTTTTCCAGACATTCTCACCCGTACCTCTTGTCAGGACGCGCCCAGACAAAAAAGCACATGTGCAGAGATTGACGCATCCCCAAGCTCACCATCGGTACGACACGTCCAGAAAGCAGGTGAATTGGCGGCTCTCACCAAACGCGGCTTAGCAACACATGACCAGCGCAGTGTTCACGACCGGAACACTGTACGGAACGAACAAGTGAACGACCATATTTGGCCAATTAGTCATCCCATATATATTTACGCAGGCGCTCTGTATGTTTTGTCCTGGCAATACAGCCGTGTCCCCAGTTCTCTGTCTTCCCCCTATCGCGTAGTCTGGCAGGCTCAGTGCGGGCGTAACCAATAGATGGCCACCCACGATACAACACCTCTTTTGTATCAGTGGTGTATCGAGGTTTATTTCGTGATAGAATCCCATTAGGGAGATTGTTCATACGAAAGAACAGTCGAACAAGAGTTAAGTTAAATGATTGCCTGCTGTTGTAACTGCTAATGGATTGCTGAGTTGTTTGACGGGTTCCTAGAGGAAACCGATAAGCATGGCCCAAACAAAACGCACAGTGAATCACACGACGGGTAAGGTTGAGCACCAACATAGCGTGGGGAAGAAGTCATCGAGTGGACATAGAGACAAACAAAAACACGTGTCACGCATCGATCTGAGTAGCCACTACACCTTGGTCACTCAAGTTAAACATATAGCCATTGTCATCTGAATAGATCATGGCGAACATACGGTTCAGCAACAATAAACATGGGGTCTTCGGTCGGTCTGACCCAGAAACTACCAGCGAAGAAAATGAACGCCCTTATGTGACCTGATGTCACTGAGTGACGCCCACCTAATGATGAGAGATTTGCAATCGTGAGTGAGTTGCACTTGTTGTTGAGAAAAAAACATCTAACGGATTCACAGTAAGCTTTGGTTTCACATCACTGGGACTGAGTGACCGCAGCTCTAGATTAGTTCCGTTCTGTGAACCATATTCGTCGAGACAGAGCCATTTCACACGACTTACGGATGTTGAACGGCAATTATCAGACTATCATCCTCCGGGAGCCACGTAGAACATTCGACGAGGATACCTCTGGACTGTTGTACTTTGTACGTTTTACACTAATCCAGATCCACCAGTTTAGTTTTCAGATGACAGTTGGGTCCGGAAATACTCAACGGAAAAATAATGACTGAAGCGGAAATTCAACATGAGAACCTTCACACACATTTCGTTTTGATCGAGAACTCACAATTGTATCGATAGGTCTCTTTGTAACTTTCCCACTCTCTGCATGCTGAACCACAGAACTACCTTCTCAGGCGTTGCACCAGAATCTCTGCCTATAAAAACCATATT